CCATGCTCATGGTTAGGAAGAATCAATATCGTGAAAATGGCCATACTGCCCAAAGTAACTTACAGATTCAACACTATCCCCATCAAGCTACCTATGACCTTCTTCACAGAACTGGAAAAAACCACTTGAAACTTCATATGGAATCACAAGAGAGCCCACATAGCCAAGATGATCCTAAGCAAAAAGAACAAAGCCAGAGGCATCACACTGCCAGACTTCAAAGTATACTACAAGGCTACAGTAATCAAAACAGCATGGTACTGGTGCCAAAACAGAGACATAGACCATTGGAACAGAACAGAGGCCTCAGAAGCAACACCACACATCTACAACCATCTCATCTTTGACAAACCTGACAAAAACAAGCAATGGGAAAAGGGCTCCATGTTTAATAAATGGTGTTGGGAAAACTGGCTAGCAAGGTGCAGAAAGAAGAAACTGGACCCCTTCCTGTTACCTTACACTAAAATTAACTCCAGATGGATTAATGATTTAAACCTAAGACCTAACACCATAAAAACACTGGAAGAAAACGTAGGCAAAACCATCCAGGACATAGGCATAGGCAAGGACTTCATGACTAAAATATCAAAAGCAATGGCAATAAAAGCCAAGATAGACAAATGGGGTCTAATTAAAATTCAGAGCTTCTGTACAGCAAAAGAAACCATCATTAGAGCGAACCGGCAATCAGATGCAATCTACCCATCTGACAAAGGGCTAATACCCAGAATCTACAAAGAACTAAAACAGATATACAAGAAACAAACAACCCCATTCAAGAGTGGGCAAAGGATATGAACAGATACTTTTCAAAAGAAGACATATATGAGGCCAACAAACATATAAAAAAATGCTCATCATCAATGGTCATTAGAAAAATGCAAATCAAAACCACATTGAGATACCATCTCATGCCAGTTAGAATGGTAATCATTAAAAAATCTGGAGAAAACAGATGCTGGAGAGGAAGTGGAGAAATAGGAACTCTTTTACACTGTTGGTGGGAGTGTAAATTAGTTCAACCATTGTGGAAGACAGTGTGGCGATTTCTCAAGGATCTAGAAATAAAAATTCTATTTGATCCAGCAATCCCATTACTGGGCATATATACCCAAAAAAATATAAATCGTTCTACTATAAAGACACATGCACATGCATGTTCACTGCAGCCCTAAGTACAATAGCAAAGACCTGGAACCAACCCAAATGCCCATCAATGATAGACTGGACAAAGAAAATGTGGCACATATACACCATGGAATACTACACAGCCATAAAAAACGATGAGTTCGTGTCCTTTGTAGGGACTTGGATGAATCTGGAAACCATCATTCTCAGCAAACTGACACAAGAACAGAAAACCAAACACCACATGTTCTCACTCATAGGTGGGTGTTGAACAATGAGAACACATGGACACAGGGAGGGGAGCATCACACACTGTGGGCAGTTGCGGGGGCTAGGGGAGGGACAGTGTAGGGTGGGGAGGGTGGGGAGGGATAACATGGGGAGAAATGCCGGATATAGTATGCACCTAATCAATGACCCTGCATGGCCTGCACATGTACCCCAGAACCTAAAGTAAAATAAATAAATTAAAATATATATATATATATGTGTGTGTGTGTGTATATATATATATATATATATATACACTAAACCACACACACAAAAAAAATTTTAGTTCTCATGAAATCACAGTAAAATGCCTATAAGTAAAATTCATAGCAATTTTTCAGCAACTTCAAAAAAATGGCTAATTTAAGAGAAAAATCTTAGAACACATCCCATCACCCTTTTTGACATCGCCAGGGGCCAGGTAACACCCGGACACTACTTGTTTAGAAATATCAGCCCTTCTCACCCTCGGGAGTTCAGTGTCAGGCCAAGAAAGCCAAAGGGTGAAGTTCAGCCAGGGCCCTCGAGATCCTCCTGTTAACCTGGGAGAAAAAATCAAGAGCCTCCAGATCAGTGTCAGCTATGAGCCAAAAGGAAATGGTGTTTTCAGGAGCAATTAATTGTTGGTCTCAGAACAATTAGAAAATCTTTCCCTTCTATAATCCTTTCTTTCCATGACTCTGTAGCTTCTGAAAGGGTTTACTTTGCTCTCTGAGAGCAAGGTCTGTTTCAAGGCAAGTAAAAAGAAGGGTCTGCCTCCTTTTCCTCAGTGAGGAAAAGTTTGTATCTGAACAGCTAGATTTTGCTGACCTCGGTCACCCCCTCCACACTGGAGAGGATGCTGCCAAATGTTTCCCATCATCTGCGCTGTGTACTGATGTCATGTGCTAACTCCTCGCAGACTGACTCCTCTGTCGCTGCAGTGCTCCACGTCTGCAGCCTGCCCAGCTGTGTCTTCAGCCTCAGTAATGGTGATAGAAAGACGGTGGAGATGGGTGGTGGACCGTACATTGTACTCTGAAGCCAAATCAAAAGGCTGCACGGTTACCTGCATGTTTAGATGATCTGTGTGGCTTATCCCCTGCTCCATCAGGGATTACGCAGGGTGGTGAATGAGACTGGGAAACTTTTCCCTGCTTTTATTGTCCAAACCACCTACTGTCGGACTAACAGAAGCAAAAAAAATATTCCACCCAGCCAGATATTTCTTTAGATGTCAGATTTAAATAAAGGGAATACATATTACCAAATGCTTAAAATTTACATAACTGTCATCCTCTTTGGGACAGCACCTTCAGCCACTACAGAAAATTCACTAATCCCAGTGAAGAGAATCTCTAATCCATTCTATTTAGAAATATGCCTTTATTCAAACAAAACCCCTTAACATATACAGATGATCATGAATCTGGGTGTCCAGCCAAGTCAGCAAATTTCAGGCTTTCTTCATTCATAAAATTGCCCTTTATACATTTTAAGTTTACAGAAGTAATATAAGAATGAATTAGGGCATGCTGTAAAGTATTTCAATTTACTCTGATATATTTTCCCATATAGTTTCACACCTACACTTGGTGGGAGAGTATATCTCTAAACCCACATATCAAATCCCCTGGAAGACTTCTGCCTTGGGATATCACAGGTCATTGACAGAAGATAAAATGTTACATTAGATTTATGACATTTCATCACCATTCTGTGCATCTACTCCATTAGCATCTTAGTCCTTCCTGGGCCTTTAAAGCAAACAGACATGATTCTTGCTATTACTAAACTACAAAAACATCCCAGATTTTCTCTAAAAAACTATACCCCAATAATTTGCCCCAAAGCAAGTATGACTACCCAAACATCAGAGACTGATTCCAAAGTAAAGAATCCAACTATGGGAAAAGGAAAATAAAAGAAAAAAAAAATCTTAGCATTTAAGATTTAAGATATTTTAATACCAAATATCAAATTAAAAATATACCTTTGTGTTTGAAGAGTCAAGTCACACAAATACGTAAAAGCAAATCAATTGTTTCCAGCTGTAATCAGCGATAATAACCCAAGTACGTGACAGCATGAGAAAGATGATCAGTTTCCTTTTGAGATTACATGATAAGCAGCAACTAAGCAGCCTTTTTCTCTAAGAACTCGCCGTCTGACCTCGTGGCAGCAGGAGGCCGCCCCTCTCACTGGCGCCCTTTATAGCGTTTGCTTTCTGTTCACCCCTGAAGGGAGGACGGGGGCGGGGGAAGCTAAGAGCCTGTTTTCTAAAATAGAGAATACCGTCATGCTCTCTTTCGAACGGGCTTGCGTGGGCACTGAAGAGGGCCAGCGGAGGCAAGGAGGGGGCAGCGAGGACGAGGTTTGTGGATTTTTTTCTGCACACTGGAAATTCCCAGGCCAAAAGGTAGCGACCCGAGTCCCGGACATTCCCCTGGATGGCCGGCTCCAAGACCAGGACTGGAACCGAGGGGAGGAATCAGAGGCAACATCTACAAACAAAACTTTTTCCTTAAAGACGTCCTTTTAAAATGTCCTGGTGAATCTCCTGCTAGGCATTAGAGTTGCCTTCTCACTAGATTCACCTCATCTTATTTCGCCTTTTCTGTGTGGCCCCTAAATGTCGGGGTGCAGTGGGCGGGTGAAGTTACCTTTTACAATACAATCAAAAAGTAGTATAGCTATCATGTGCCTTCATTGACTCATTAACGAACAAGGCATCTGTGACATAAATAAAGCAATGTTCCTGTAACATGAAGATCACTTTATTTTCAAGGGGGAAGGGGAATGGGAATGGAGTGGATTTAACAGCAAATGAACCATTGCACAACACTGAAGGATTTCTGCTATGACTTTTAGTTTCACTTCTTTTCCATTCAGTACACTTGATGCTAATCTCGGTACTGCTTTTTTTTTTTTTAAGTTATATTCCCTAGGCAGCGTTAAATCCAGTTGAAATGGGGATTAGAGTTACATATCATTAGGCTCTTAAAACTCAAAGAGGCCTGGTGGCCTCTCATTTAACAAGAATATTAAAAAGGAAAATATATGTACACACATATAAATATATTTAAGTTCACCCTTTATGTTTGTTTATTTATTTATTTTTGAGACAGAGTTTCCCTCGTTTGCCCGGGCTGGAGTGCAATAGCGCAGTCTCGGCTCACTGCAAACTCCACCTCTCAGGTTCAAGCGATTCTCCTGCATCAGCCTCGTGAGTACCTGGGATTACAGGCATGGGCCACCACACCCAGCTAATTTTGTATTTTTAGTAGAGATGGGGTTTCACCATGTTGGCCAGGCTGGTCTTGAACTCCTGACCTCAAGTGATCCACCCGCCTCGGCCTCCCAAAGTGCTGGGATTACAGGCGTGAGCCACCACACCCAGCCCACTCTTTTTTTAAAAGTTAAAATGTAAAAGCACGTTTGAGAGACAAGTTAGACTGAAGTTGGTGGAGTACATTTTGTGCTCTCCTAGCTTCTGTGTCCTTTAAACTCCTGCCCTCAACCATCCTCTTAGCTTCCACCACCTCCATTCTCCTAGGATTCCCAGGTCCCCTTAGAACTCAGGGGCTGAGGTCTCACTTTCAAAGTGAAAAATTAACAACTTCAAAATTTTATTTATTCACATTGAGGTATCAAGAATCCTAAGTACACTGATAATACATTGTAGACATAAACCAGGTTGAATAATGCTTAACACAAGAAAATAAATACACTTAAGGTGGACTTTCTGGCATTAGTGACTAGCTGATGTTAAAAAGCTGAACTTACTCAGAACCCACAAAGATAATTCTGAGCAGTTTTTTGTGAAGTTGGGAATGCTTAGTTCTGTTGTTTCGCTTGGGTGTTTATTTCCCTGTACCTTTCTCAGTGATCACTATTTCCTTGAACAGGGTCCCGAAACACTCATATCTGGCATGTAACACATGAATATGTAAAGGTTTACCATATTTATTCTTGTCAAGTACCCTGATTTACCAATCTGCAAACTATCAGCCTGTAGTTTTCAGGCTGATAAATGTGCAACTGGATTCGGTTATTAAACTGGATCGACTAAGTTTCAATCCGAAACTTAAGAATTATATCCAGCAAGTGTCTGTTAAGTGGTCTTAATTAAAATGATAGTTGTTCAGAATGGCAAAGTGAATGATATGGGAACATCAAAGGACTGTTTTACATTCCCTAAAGGTTACTTTTAGCAGGATAATTCTATAAAATGTAATTTGTATAGAAAGGTTTTATTATGGGTTCTGTCTGTCACAAATAGCATCAAATCAGTCATCTCAGTTCTGGAATATGAGATTCACTAAGTTAAATTAATACTGTCATTCCAAAATAGAAATGCATATTTTTCAACCACTGAAATTGTATATAAACCACTGTTTTAATATTGTAAACCTAAATGTCCAACCATAACAACCAACTTACCTAATAATGAAAACTCCAGTAGCAGAACTATTAAGCAGACCTATATAACTTATGAAGACTATTTCACAGATCCAAATTACATATTCTCTATAACTATACGGTTAAAAAACCTACAAGAAAATATGCCCAAATACTACTGTTCATTGTGTTCAGATGATAGAATTATGGATTTTATCTGTAGATTTTTATTCTAGATTTTATAGTTAATATTCACAACCATGTGGCACTAGCCTAAAATAAACTTTTCAGAAGAAACTAAATTATCCTTTCTATTATTCTGAGAAAGGTTTAAGTGATACTGAAATCTTTATCAAAATTTCCACGCCAGAGTGAAGAAAGACAAATTAGATGTTGAATGAAAGTTGTTCGCACTGATAAGTGAGAAGTAAATGATAACACATGGACACATAAAGGGGAACAACACACACTGGGGCCTGTTGGAGGGTGGAGAGTAGAAGGAGGAAGAGGATCAGAAAATTACTAAGGGGTACTAAGCTTAATACCTGGGTGATGAAATCATCTGTACAACAAACCCCCATGACAAAAGTCCTATGAAACAAACCAGCACATGTACCCCTGAACTTAAAAGTTGTTAAAAAAAAAAAAAGTGACTGAGAATATCTGAAGAAGCTGTGCCACCAAATCTTTAAGAGCTATGTCACCAAATCAAAAAATAACAGAAATGAGACNCAAGAACAGAAAACCAAACACCACATGTTCTCACTCATAGGTGGGTGTTGAACAATGAGAACACATGGACACAGGGAGGGGAGCATCACACACTGTGGGCAGTTGCGGGGGCTAGGGGAGGGACAGTGTAGGGTGGGGAGGGTGGGGAGGGATAACATGGGGAGAAATGCCGGATATAGTATGCACCTAATCAATGACCCTGCATGGCCTGCACATGTACCCCAGAACCTAAAGTAAAATAAATAAATTAAAATATATATATATATATGTGTGTGTGTGTGTATATATATATATATATATATATACACTAAACCACACACACAAAAAAAATTTTAGTTCTCATGAAATCACAGTAAAATGCCTATAAGTAAAATTCATAGCAATTTTTCAGCAACTTCAAAAAAATGGCTAATTTAAGAGAAAAATCTTAGAACACATCCCATCACCCTTTTTGACATCGCCAGGGGCCAGGTAACACCCGGACACTACTTGTTTAGAAATATCAGCCCTTCTCACCCTCGGGAGTTCAGTGTCAGGCCAAGAAAGCCAAAGGGTGAAGTTCAGCCAGGGCCCTCGAGATCCTCCTGTTAACCTGGGAGAAAAAATCAAGAGCCTCCAGATCAGTGTCAGCTATGAGCCAAAAGGAAATGGTGTTTTCAGGAGCAATTAATTGTTGGTCTCAGAACAATTAGAAAATCTTTCCCTTCTATAATCCTTTCTTTCCATGACTCTGTAGCTTCTGAAAGGGTTTACTTTGCTCTCTGAGAGCAAGGTCTGTTTCAAGGCAAGTAAAAAGAAGGGTCTGCCTCCTTTTCCTCAGTGAGGAAAAGTTTGTATCTGAACAGCTAGATTTTGCTGACCTCGGTCACCCCCTCCACACTGGAGAGGATGCTGCCAAATGTTTCCCATCATCTGCGCTGTGTACTGATGTCATGTGCTAACTCCTCGCAGACTGACTCCTCTGTCGCTGCAGTGCTCCACGTCTGCAGCCTGCCCAGCTGTGTCTTCAGCCTCAGTAATGGTGATAGAAAGACGGTGGAGATGGGTGGTGGACCGTACATTGTACTCTGAAGCCAAATCAAAAGGCTGCACGGTTACCTGCATGTTTAGATGATCTGTGTGGCTTATCCCCTGCTCCATCAGGGATTACGCAGGGTGGTGAATGAGACTGGGAAACTTTTCCCTGCTTTTATTGTCCAAACCACCTACTGTCGGACTAACAGAAGCAAAAAAAATATTCCACCCAGCCAGATATTTCTTTAGATGTCAGATTTAAATAAAGGGAATACATATTACCAAATGCTTAAAATTTACATAACTGTCATCCTCTTTGGGACAGCACCTTCAGCCACTACAGAAAATTCACTAATCCCAGTGAAGAGAATCTCTAATCCATTCTATTTAGAAATATGCCTTTATTCAAACAAAACCCCTTAACATATACAGATGATCATGAATCTGGGTGTCCAGCCAAGTCAGCAAATTTCAGGCTTTCTTCATTCATAAAATTGCCCTTTATACATTTTAAGTTTACAGAAGTAATATAAGAATGAATTAGGGCATGCTGTAAAGTATTTCAATTTACTCTGATATATTTTCCCATATAGTTTCACACCTACACTTGGTGGGAGAGTATATCTCTAAACCCACATATCAAATCCCCTGGAAGACTTCTGCCTTGGGATATCACAGGTCATTGACAGAAGATAAAATGTTACATTAGATTTATGACATTTCATCACCATTCTGTGCATCTACTCCATTAGCATCTTAGTCCTTCCTGGGCCTTTAAAGCAAACAGACATGATTCTTGCTATTACTAAACTACAAAAACATCCCAGATTTTCTCTAAAAAACTATACCCCAATAATTTGCCCCAAAGCAAGTATGACTACCCAAACATCAGAGACTGATTCCAAAGTAAAGAATCCAACTATGGGAAAAGGAAAATAAAAGAAAAAAAAAATCTTAGCATTTAAGATTTAAGATATTTTAATACCAAATATCAAATTAAAAATATACCTTTGTGTTTGAAGAGTCAAGTCACACAAATACGTAAAAGCAAATCAATTGTTTCCAGCTGTAATCAGCGATAATAACCCAAGTACGTGACAGCATGAGAAAGATGATCAGTTTCCTTTTGAGATTACATGATAAGCAGCAACTAAGCAGCCTTTTTCTCTAAGAACTCGCCGTCTGACCTCGTGGCAGCAGGAGGCCGCCCCTCTCACTGGCGCCCTTTATAGCGTTTGCTTTCTGTTCACCCCTGAAGGGAGGACGGGGGCGGGGGAAGCTAAGAGCCTGTTTTCTAAAATAGAGAATACCGTCATGCTCTCTTTCGAACGGGCTTGCGTGGGCACTGAAGAGGGCCAGCGGAGGCAAGGAGGGGGCAGCGAGGACGAGGTTTGTGGATTTTTTTCTGCACACTGGAAATTCCCAGGCCAAAAGGTAGCGACCCGAGTCCCGGACATTCCCCTGGATGGCCGGCTCCAAGACCAGGACTGGAACCGAGGGGAGGAATCAGAGGCAACATCTACAAACAAAACTTTTTCCTTAAAGACGTCCTTTTAAAATGTCCTGGTGAATCTCCTGCTAGGCATTAGAGTTGCCTTCTCACTAGATTCACCTCATCTTATTTCGCCTTTTCTGTGTGGCCCCTAAATGTCGGGGTGCAGTGGGCGGGTGAAGTTACCTTTTACAATACAATCAAAAAGTAGTATAGCTATCATGTGCCTTCATTGACTCATTAACGAACAAGGCATCTGTGACATAAATAAAGCAATGTTCCTGTAACATGAAGATCACTTTATTTTCAAGGGGGAAGGGGAATGGGAATGGAGTGGATTTAACAGCAAATGAACCATTGCACAACACTGAAGGATTTCTGCTATGACTTTTAGTTTCACTTCTTTTCCATTCAGTACACTTGATGCTAATCTCGGTACTGCTTTTTTTTTTTTTAAGTTATATTCCCTAGGCAGCGTTAAATCCAGTTGAAATGGGGATTAGAGTTACATATCATTAGGCTCTTAAAACTCAAAGAGGCCTGGTGGCCTCTCATTTAACAAGAATATTAAAAAGGAAAATATATGTACACACATATAAATATATTTAAGTTCACCCTTTATGTTTGTTTATTTATTTATTTTTGAGACAGAGTTTCCCTCGTTTGCCCGGGCTGGAGTGCAATAGCGCAGTCTCGGCTCACTGCAAACTCCACCTCTCAGGTTCAAGCGATTCTCCTGCATCAGCCTCGTGAGTACCTGGGATTACAGGCATGGGCCACCACACCCAGCTAATTTTGTATTTTTAGTAGAGATGGGGTTTCACCATGTTGGCCAGGCTGGTCTTGAACTCCTGACCTCAAGTGATCCACCCGCCTCGGCCTCCCAAAGTGCTGGGATTACAGGCGTGAGCCACCACACCCAGCCCACTCTTTTTTTAAAAGTTAAAATGTAAAAGCACGTTTGAGAGACAAGTTAGACTGAAGTTGGTGGAGTACATTTTGTGCTCTCCTAGCTTCTGTGTCCTTTAAACTCCTGCCCTCAACCATCCTCTTAGCTTCCACCACCTCCATTCTCCTAGGATTCCCAGGTCCCCTTAGAACTCAGGGGCTGAGGTCTCACTTTCAAAGTGAAAAATTAACAACTTCAAAATTTTATTTATTCACATTGAGGTATCAAGAATCCTAAGTACACTGATAATACATTGTAGACATAAACCAGGTTGAATAATGCTTAACACAAGAAAATAAATACACTTAAGGTGGACTTTCTGGCATTAGTGACTAGCTGATGTTAAAAAGCTGAACTTACTCAGAACCCACAAAGATAATTCTGAGCAGTTTTTTGTGAAGTTGGGAATGCTTAGTTCTGTTGTTTCGCTTGGGTGTTTATTTCCCTGTACCTTTCTCAGTGATCACTATTTCCTTGAACAGGGTCCCGAAACACTCATATCTGGCATGTAACACATGAATATGTAAAGGTTTACCATATTTATTCTTGTCAAGTACCCTGATTTACCAATCTGCAAACTATCAGCCTGTAGTTTTCAGGCTGATAAATGTGCAACTGGATTCGGTTATTAAACTGGATCGACTAAGTTTCAATCCGAAACTTAAGAATTATATCCAGCAAGTGTCTGTTAAGTGGTCTTAATTAAAATGATAGTTGTTCAGAATGGCAAAGTGAATGATATGGGAACATCAAAGGACTGTTTTACATTCCCTAAAGGTTACTTTTAGCAGGATAATTCTATAAAATGTAATTTGTATAGAAAGGTTTTATTATGGGTTCTGTCTGTCACAAATAGCATCAAATCAGTCATCTCAGTTCTGGAATATGAGATTCACTAAGTTAAATTAATACTGTCATTCCAAAATAGAAATGCATATTTTTCAACCACTGAAATTGTATATAAACCACTGTTTTAATATTGTAAACCTAAATGTCCAACCATAACAACCAACTTACCTAATAATGAAAACTCCAGTAGCAGAACTATTAAGCAGACCTATATAACTTATGAAGACTATTTAACATAGAAAAATATTTGTGTAAAAAACACAGATCCAAATTACATATTCTCTATAACTATACGGTTAAAAAACCTACAAGAAAATATGCCCAAATACTACTGTTCATTGTGTTCAGATGATAGAATTATGGATTTTATCTGTAGATTTTTATTCTAGATTTTATAGTTAATATTCACAACCATGTGGCACTAGCCTAAAATAAACTTTTCAGAAGAAACTAAATTATCCTTTCTATTATTCTGAGAAAGGTTTAAGTGATACTGAAATCTTTATCAAAATTTCCACGCCAGAGTGAAGAAAGACAAATTAGATGTTGAATGAAAGTTGTTCGCACTGATAAGTGAGAAGTAAATGATAACACATGGACACATAAAGGGGAACAACACACACTGGGGCCTGTTGGAGGGTGGAGAGTAGAAGGAGGAAGAGGATCAGAAAATTACTAAGGGGTACTAAGCTTAATACCTGGGTGATGAAATCATCTGTACAACAAACCCCCATGACAAAAGTCCTATGAAACAAACCAGCACATGTACCCCTGAACTTAAAAGTTGTTAAGAGAGAAAAAAGTGACTGAGAATATCTGAAGAAGCTGTGCCACCAAATCTTTAAGAGCTATGTCACCAAATCAAAAAATAACAGAAATGAGACAAGATCATAAGAAATCATTTGCACGATCAAGTAGCATTATTCCAAACCACTGGAGAAGCAATGCCCTCTTTCTTTTTAAAATTCTTCTGGGAAAATTACTCCTCAGTCTCCTTTATAAATCCTTGAGGAAATGTCTGTAAGTTATTTCATGAAAAGAAATCCTGTCGGCTGGGCACAGTGGCTCATACCTGTAATCCCAGCACTTCGGGAAGTCAAGGTGAGTGAACTGCTTGAGCCCAGGGGTTTAAGACCAGCCTGGACAACATAGTCTCTATAAATAAAATACAAAACTTAGGTGGCCCTGGTGGTACACACCTGTAGTTCCAGCTAGTCAGGAGGCTAAGATGGAAGAATTGCTTGAACCCAGGAAGTCAAGGCTGCATTGAGCCATGATCATGCCACTGCACTCCAGCCTGGGCAAAAGAGCAAGAACCTGTTTCAAAAATAAATAAATAAATATCCTTCTTTACAAAAGTCTCACAAGTTTAGCTGAAAAGGGATATGGACCTTCACATACCTTATTTCAAATCCGAACTCAAGTTCCTCATGTATAATATGGAGTTAATATCACCTACACTACTGGATCATGAACAGAATTAAATTTGTTATTGGTGAAACCCCTGAAATAATAAACAAGCCATGTTTATTCCCTCATTCTGTCTTACCTCTTAAGTGTTTCTCTAAATGTGAAATACCATCATAATCACTGAGCGCTTGCCAAAAAGGTTGGTTCCATAAATCCCAGAGGCATCATGATCCTGCTTTTTTGTTTGTTTAGAGACAGGGTCTCGCCCTATTGCCCAGACTGGAGAACAGTTGAACAATCAAGGCTCACTACAGCCTCTGCAACCTTCTGCCTCCTGGGCTCACACAGTCCTCCCACCTCAGCCTCCTAAGTAGCTGGGACTACAGGTGGGTGCCACCACACCCAGCTAGTTTTTGTATTTTTTGTAGAGATGGGGTTTCACCATGTCACCTAGGCTGGTCTTGAACTTCCAGGCTCAAGCAATCAGCCCACCTTGGTCTCCTAAAGTGCTGTGATTACAGATGTGAGCCATCATGCCTGGCCTTAATACTTTTATTATTTAAGAAAATTTTTTAGAGACAAGGTCTTGTTCTGTTGCTCAGGTGGGAGTGTAGTGGCACAATCATAGCTCACTGCAGCCTCAAACTACTGGGCTCAATCAATCATCCTGCCTTAGCCTCCCTCGTTGCTGGGACTGGGCCCATGCCTGGCTAAATTATTATTTTTTGTGGAGACCAGGGCTTGCTATGTTACCCAGGTTGGTCTCAAACTCCCAGCCTCAAGCAATCCTCCTGCCTGGCCTCCCAAAGTGCTGGGATTACAGGCTTAAACTACCACACTCCAACATGACTCTTAATTCTGCATTTCTGTCAGATATTACAAGTGATCCTTAGGCAGCGTAAAGCTTAAGGACCATTAAAATTAAGCTATTTTAATATATTTTACTACCTCATCAGACTCAGAAACAATTAAAAATCTTCTATCCTCATAAAATACTTTAAAAACTTGAAGGTGTTCCTCAAGGATAGGAAAGTTAAGATCGGGGGCCCTCTGTTTTAATTAAAAACCCAAATTATTTGACCCATTCTTCTAAGGGTACATATTTTTCATACTTCAAGCATCCATTTTCCTCTCTAAAGCCTCCCTAGTTTCTTCCCATGTCCACTTAGGAGAGACTTAACTAAACTACAATCTATCACAGCTCAAAAAGAAAAAAGTACTTACTAAATGATCCCAAATTAACTAAACTCCTTTAAAATTAATAAGTCAAATAAAACTAATAATTCTCTTATTCTTAGATAGCCAGTAGGAATAGCAGTTTCTTCTAAGCATGAGAGAATGGGTGTACCTTATGCCCAAATCAAGAAATAATAACAACAACAAAAATCAAGAAATACCAAAATATCTTGTTAATTTCTAATTCGATTTTAACTTCTAATTTTGGTAAGTAGTTCAAAATAACAAGAAAAACACCTGAAATTGGCGGGAAAAACTTTCACATCTTTATAATACAATAGCATTCATTACATAAAAGTCAATTCTTAAAACCCTCAAATTTCAGAACATAAAAATAAATTTCTGTTTACAGATTTCCCCTTCCAGTTCCAAAAGTAGTCATTCTAGAGTAAGTATTCAACACATAAAATTTAGCTGGAGCAAATAAAGAACAATCACCAAATGCAAATATTAATTCCAAACAGATATTATATGTACTGCTTTCCTATTCCCTTTTACTTCTTTTCTAGATAAAAGCAGGAAATTGCAAACATTCTCACTATAAAATTCAAACCAAGCACATTGGCCTCATCAAGTAATTCAGAAAAGGCAGATCATCAAGAGAAACTCCTGAGACACAGCAGTCTTCAGTGCATTCACAAGAGCCTCTGACTATAAGCTTCCTCTGATTGACCCCCAGAAGACGGACTACTTGGGCTACTCATGCAGATGCACTCAATTCCCTTTACCAGATAAGCTACAAACACTCTACTACCATTGTCCCTTCCATCAGAATACGTTTCATCGTTGTTAGCAAAGTAATCACCCCTCCCAGAAGAAGCTAATTCAAATACACTCATTAGCATCTTTGGTTACAAGAGCAATACAGTGTATAGATGCTGTTAATAAGAGTTCTACCATGGCTAAGTCAAGATTGGATAAAATCCTTTAGGTAGATATAAATGTAACCTGCATTTTCTAAGCTCCTCATATAAAGTCCAGCTCTTTTTGAAATTTTATATTTATTAATGGCAGTCATCTCTCACTGGGGCCACTTTCCGTAGCTCAGGTCAATTGAGAAGGTCATTGAATATGATTCCTACAGTCCCTTCCAGGACAGGCTAGGTCTCAAAGGGGCACACAAAGGACAAGAACATGTCCAGCTGGTTCTTCACAATAACTTCATCAGGATGCAGCTTGTGTGGTAGATAATGAGCCAGGGTCATCTCCCAGGCATCCACAAGATATACTCCGACCCCTGAGAACATCCTCCGAAGAATGGTGTCCAGCTGAAAGTTGTACCAGTCGCTGTTGAAAAGGCTCACCTCAGGCCCCAGCTCTTGGGCATTGGCCGTCCGGATGACCACCACCGTCTTTGGGCTTCGATCGAGGAGCCGAACCACCGCTCGACGGATGTTCCTGAGCCGCCGGATATACACTTCCAAGGGGAAGGTGCTGAAGTGAGACCATACAGCTATGGCAACCACTGTGTTCTTCCCTCCCACAATGCCATTCAGCTCATTCGCCACATAACGGAGCTCACTGCTAAAGACGGTGGTGAAGCGGATGGGTGGACCATGGCAGCGGTATTTGAGCAGGATGTTGTGCTTCTGGTCCACTGCAAGGAAGGGGCCCACATTCTTGGGACTACCCAAGTTAAACTCCACTAAATCTGAAACAAGGAAAACTCAAGTTCATACAAACATTCACACCAAGCACATATATTTTGATTATACCTTATTAAGTGGCTTCAAATAATAAGCTTTTTTTTAAAGTACCATGAGAAGGTACAATATAAATGTAAAGGGAATACCTATTTCACTGTATTCTGCCCCCTTTCGTCTATCAATGGGCCTTTATTCTAACACATTATTTAAATTATTCCACAAACCTAATATTCATTATAAATAACACCATCAGTTATAGATTCTACACGTGTCTATGCCTAAAAAACAAAATAACCCCTTTTTCTCTAATTATTAGGCCAAGAAATGTTGCTATTTGTATTGATCATTGCAATTTTTTTATCTAAAGTTTTTTTTTAAACTATTATTTTAGGTTTGGGGGTGCATGTAAAGGTTCGTTACATAGGAAAAAACATGTCAAATATTATTTCATCACCCAGGTTTTCAGCCCAGTACCAAATAGTTATCTTTTCTGCTCCTCTCCTTCCTCCCACTCTCCCTCTTCAAGTAGACCCGTGTCTGTTGCTTCCTTCTGTGTGTTCGTAAGTTCTTATCATTTATCTCCCACTTATAAGTGAGAACATGTGGTGTTTTCTGTGTTAGTTTGCTAAGGATAATGGCCTCCAGCTCCATCCATGTTCCCACAAAAGACGCATGATCTCAGCAGGGCGGAGGGGGATCACCTGAGGTCAGGAGTTCGAGACCAGCCTAACCAACATGGAGAAACACCATCTCTACTAAAAATACAAAATTAGCTGGGCATGGTGGCACATGCCTGTAATCCCAGCTACTTGGGAGGCTGAGGCAGGAGAATTGCTTGGACCCAAGAGGCAGAGGTTTTGATGAGCTGAGATCATGCCATTGCACTCCAGCCTGGGCAATAAGAGCGAAACTGCGTCTCAAAAAAAAAAAAAAAGATATGGCCTTTTTATGGCTGCATAGTATTCCACAGTGTATATGTACCACATTTTCTTTATCCAATCTGTCACTGATGGACATTTAGGGTGATTCCATGTCTTTGCTATTGTGAACAATGCTGCAATGAACATTTGCTTGCATGTGTCTTTACGGCAGAATGACTTATATTTCTCTGGGTATATACCCCGTAATGGGATTGCTGGGTCGAATGGTAGTTCTGCTTTTAGCTCTTTGAGGAATCACCATACTGCCTTCCAAGAGGGTTGAACTAATTTATACTCCCACCAACAGTGTAAAAGTGTTCCCTTTGCTCTGCAACCTTGCCAGCATCTGTTATTTTTTGGCTTTTTAGTAGTAGCCATTCTGACAGGTGTGAGAACCACAATTTCACTGTGGTTTTGATTTGCATTTCTCTAATGATCAGTGATACTGAGCTTTTTCTTCATTATGTTTGTTGACTGTATGTACGTCGTCTTCTGAGAAGTGTCTGTTTATAATCATTTAATTTATAAAAATCAACTTGGCGTTTACATTTTATTCTCCTACAGATAAATATTATTTCTTTCAAGACAGGGGCTTTAACTTCTGTTTTATGAGCACATGTTAGTAACCTGATACTTCTTTTGGGAAATTCTGTCATTTGTAATAACATAAATGAAATTAGAGGACATTATGCTAAGTGAAATAAGCCAGATGCAGATGTCTGTTATGTGGAACCTCATGCAATATTTGTCTTATACTGACTTATATGTGGAACTTTAAAAAGTTGAAGTAGAGAGTAGAATAGTGGTTCCCAGGAGTTTGGTGCAATGGGGAGATGTTAATCAAAGTCTCAGAAGGAAAATGTTTTAGAGATCCATTGTACAACCTGGTAACCGTAGTAAATAATAATGTACTGTATATTTCAAAGTTTCTAAAAGAGGAGATTTTAAATGTTCTCACTACAAAAATTTAATTATGTGAGGTGATGGATATGTTAATTTACTTGATATAATAATTCTACAATTTACATATATATCAAAATATCACACTGTACCCCATAAATATACCTAACTGTTGATTAAAACTGAAATGTTTTTAAAATAACATTAAAGCACCGGGCGCGGTGGCTCAAGCCTGTAATCCCAGCACTTTGGGAGGCCGAGGCGGGTAGATCACGAGGTCAAGAGATCGAGACCATCCTGGTCAGCACGGTGAAACCCCGTCTCTACTAAAAATACAAAAAATTAGCTGGGCATGGTGGCGCGTGCCTGTAATCCCAGCTACTCAGGAGGCTGAGGCAGGAGAATTGCCTGAACCCAGGAGGCGGAGGTTGCGGTGAGCAGAGATCGCGCCATTGCACTCCAGCCTGGGTAATAAGAGCGAAACTCCGTCCCAAAAAAAATAAAAAATAAAAAATAAATAAAATAAAATAAAATAAAATAACATTAAAGCAAGTTCAAATGTAATTCTGAAAAATGAAAACAAACACCTCTTTCTGCAATAGGCAAAAGAAAGAGGCAACCCTGTTTCTTTTGACTTTCAATTTTACCCTATAGATGAACAATCATGTCAACGTCCTACAGAAAAACTTCCATCTCTATCATGAGAATGATGTAGATAGCATCACAAGTTAGAATTCCCTTTTCTAAATTGTATTTCAAGGTCTAGTTGCCTGGAGACATTCTGAAGATCCCAGGAATCAGTGGGACTCACTGCTATTCCTAAAAGCAACTCTGTATAATTCATCACTTAGTATGTGCCCTGTGAGGAAAGAAGATTTGTCACAAATCCCTTAATATTCCCTTAAGTGTCTTAAGTAAATGCTGACAATCCAATTCAACTGATATTTCCTAAGCACCTACTTACTGCCCACTACTATATGTGCTACAAGCCAGCAATGCTCACATGGATAAGCTACAGTCCTTGCCCTCAGGGAGTTCACAGTCAATTTTGAAGAAGTAACATCAGAATATAATTGTTCTACAGGCTGGGCATGGTGGCTCATATCTGTAATCCCAGTATTCTGGGAGGCTGAGGCAGGCAGATCACTTGAGGTCAGGAGTTTGAGACCAGCCGGGCCAACATGGTGAAACCCAGTATCTAATAAAAATACAAAAGTTAACCAGGCATGGTGGCGGGCGCCTGTAATCTCAGCTACTTGGAGGGCTGAGCCAGGAGAATCATGTGAACCTGGAAAGGAGAGGTTTTAGTGAGTCAGGATCACACCACTGCACTCCAGCCTGAGCGAAAGAGCTAGACTTCATCTCAAAAACAAACAAAAAGAATACAATTGTCATATATTCTTCTTAAGGGTTAAAGTGGGTTTCACTTTTTTCTCCTGGCAGTTCCAGGCTTCTCTTCTAGATTTTCCTACCTAATAACTATTTAGCATCTAGCTCCATTTAAACTGAATAGAAAGCTCAAGCTACCACTTTCTTTTGATTAAGATCAAGCACTGACACAAGTCTTTATTTTTAGCAGGTGAAGATATGTCGGTAAAGGATATGGTAGGAAGTATGCAAAATAGTCAGTGTGATCCTTGCTATCAAAGGCAACAACAGCTACATCATTAGAACTTAAGAAGCAGCAACTGCATATGCCTAGGAAGGCCCTCACTGGTCAGCGTCACATCAAACCTCGCCTAGCATCATGCCATACAAAGCATTTCCCTTCTCCTAATGTATAACTTAACACTTTACCAAATAAAGTTTAGTTATATCTGTTTCAATTTAAAAGACAAGCAAAACAAAGTGGAATTGACTTTACACTTTTGGGGACAATACGTACTTCTCCTTTCCTTCTAAAAATTAAATTTAAAACTAAGTTGAAGCCAGGTGTGAGCCACCAGCACTTTGGGAGGTTAAGGCAGGCGAACTGCTTGAGCATGAGAACTTGAGACTAGCCTGAGCAACACAGCAAGACTTCATTTCTACAAAAAAATTAGCCGGGTAAAGTGGCTCATGCCTATGGTCCCAAATGCTTGAGAGGCTGAAGTGGGAGGATCGTTTGAGCCCAGGAGGTTGAGGCTGCAGTGAGCCATGAGTACACCTTCGCATTCCAGCCTGGGAGACAGAGTGAAACCTCGTCTCGATCAATCAATAAAACTAAGTTGACCTAATAAATAAAAGAGCTGATTAAAGGAATCACAAACAACTCACAACAAACCATCAGGCTTTACTTTATTAAAAGCCTTGTCCACACATAGCCATTAAAAACAGTTCCCATGAAACTACTTATCAGCTCTCTAAATTGTAGGCAGGGTCTTTATTTCTACTCCTCCAAGATCCCGCCTTCTTACCTCATCCACACCCCTTTCAGAAGGAAGAATGCCCTTGTGAAGAAGGAACGGGTCTCCAGCCATTGGGGTTTTGTTCTGAGTCTGGAGAACAGCCCCAGAGCCAAACTGAGAAATCAAGAAGCTAAGAATGCTGGAACTTACCCAGACTCCCTCAGGGGGAGTCAACTCCACCTCAGAGGCACACCAATGGTAGACCCAATGGATAACACAGGGATGGCTTTGCTGCAAGAATGCATTAAAATGGACAGCAATAGGTCTGGCTGCTTCCTTCTACATAAAGCTACTATAAGCTTAAAGTTGGATGAGACAGAAGTAGGGGGAGAAACAACTAGAAATGTCCACCTCCATTTCACAACACAGAATATTAGAAGTGAAGGACAGCTGTGAAGTGACATGGTCCAGCTATCTCATCTCACACATGGAGAAATGAAGCCCTGAGAAGTAAATGACTTGTCCAAAGTCATACAGCTCATCAGTGGCATAAACCTCAATGAGAACTCAGTGCTTCCATGAGTACAACACAACACAGCTATTGATCAGAAAATGTCGCACATCTCTTCCGGATTTGGGTACCTCTTTAGTCCTTCAGAGAAATACATGTTTCTTCACCTGATAACCTTTCTTCAGGCACCTGAGTGAGTCTGCTTATTTCAAAGCTAATGTGGAAAAGAGTTATGAAACAAAAAGCAAAGTACCAACCTGGAACAAACGTAGTAAGGTATTCAAACCATTGCCTGATTGTTGAGTCACCAAATAAATGCACCACTTTTCTTTGTAAGCACTCTGTAATGTTGTCAGGGTCATTAAACTGACGCATCTTAAACTTTCTGGGCCTCCACTGGTCTTTATAATAATACCCAGAGGGAAAAGTTCCTGAGCTTTGAGATAGTTCTAGATTATTAGTCTCTGAAAAAAAAAAAGAAAAAAAAATATTTAATATTATCCTCCAACAACAGATGAAAGATGTCCCAAGAAACAATTATGCCCATGTATTTTTGTTAGCCTGCTGGCATGTGGGAAACATTTCCTGCTGTCAGATCTCAAATCCCAGACTTTTCTCCTGATTAAAAAAAGGTTTTCTGCAGCCATAAAAAAAGAATGAGTTCATGTCCTTTGCAGAGACATGGATGAAGCTGGAATCCATCATTTTCCGCAAACTAACACAGGAACAGAAAACCAAACACCACATGTTCTCACTCATAAGTGAGAATTGAACAATGAGACACACAGACACAGAGAGGGGAACATCACACACTGGGGCTGTCAGGGGGTTGGGGACAAGGGGAGGGAGAGCATTAGGACAAGTACCTAATGCAGGCAGGGCTTAAAACCTAGATAATGGGTTGATAGGTGCAGCAAACCTATCAGCCATGACACATGTATACCTATATAACAAACCTGCACACTCTGCACATATATCCTAGAACGTAAAGTAAAAAAATTTTTTTAAGTTTTCTTTTGTACAAAATGGACAAATATGAAATAGGCATGAGGATACTGGTGGACAGAAAGGCAAAGGGGGACTTTCAGCATTCCCTCTGACTACATTTTTTTTTTTTAATGGACTCACTCTTTTTGCCCAAGCTGGAGTGCAGTGGAGCAATCTCAGCTCACTGCAACCTCCACCTTCTGGGTTCAAGCAGTTCTCCTGCCTCAGCCTCCCGAGTAGCTGGGATTACACGCACACACTACCATGCCTGGCTAATTTTTGCATTTTTTTGCAGAAACAGGGTTTCACCATGTTGGCCAGGCTGGTCTCAAACTCCTGATCTCAAGCGATCTGCCCGCCTCGGCCTCCCAGAGTGCCGGGATTACAGGCATGTGCCACCGTGTCCGTCCTGATTATGTATGTTTTTATCAAAGCCAAATATAAAGGAAGATAAAAGCCAAGGAAATGTGTGGACATAAGCATTTATCCAGCATTATCCCACAATAGAACAGTTTCTCACCCACACACCTATGAGGCAAGTAACAACTTAGACTGATATTTTACACATACAGAGTAGTATTATTTCACTGTTTTCAGCCCATTAAGAGCAAAGTTAGAATCCATGAATCCTACCTTCAAATTTTAATTTCAATTCCAAAAAAAAGCTACTTAATATAGAGAACAAACTAATGGCATACAATCTAAAGGATTATTCTCCATAATACCAAAGGTTCAGAAAGCCTTTATACATAATGAACAATATTAAAAATACATCACCAATGTGTACTCCTGGCTGTAACCTAGCTACACATGATAGCACAAGCAAAAGCACACCGTTCAGAGGGAGAGTCAACATCCTTCTGCCCTAACACCTCCTGCAGAAAATGCCACTGTGGAAACAACACATATTACGTGCTTCAAAATAGATTGTGATGGCTAATAGTTCTTGCAAGTTTACTCTGCATCAGAAACTATCCTGAGCAAACATATTATCTCATAGGCTCACAGTAACTCTTTAAAGTAGGTCCCATTACTATCCCTGCCGTTTTTTGTTATTTGAAGATAATGTCTCTATATCTCTAAAACTTCTTGGCTTCTCTTTAAAGCCCATGGTTTGCATTTTCTTCCAAAGGCTGTCATCCATGTAATCCGTTAGCCATGAGGGCTATCTGGGCCAAAAATGCAACAAAATGAGAGAGAAAAAGGCAGAGAGATAAATTTTCCTAAATCATCCAGAAAGAGCTGGATGAAAAGGACACAGAATAAGCAACTTGACCAAGGTCCCCAAGCTGAGCTCATAAGGAGCAAAGCCAGGACCTGGCCCAGGCAGGGGAGCCCCCCATGATCTTAACCACTGAGCTAGAGCACATCTCAAAACAAGACATTTACAGATGTCAGCCATTTCTTTTTTTTTTTTCTTCATGGTAAACATTTATTCATTTCAAACATACAATCTTCAAGAAACCACCAGTTTATATCATTTTCTTACACAACCTCAGTCATAATCCAGTCATTCTATAGTCACCTATAAAGACACAATTTGGAATTTAAATGCTTACATAACTCAGAAATTTAAATTTGAGTGAGTCCCCTATTTGTGACTATTTTTAGCTTTATTTGACTCGACACTATCTGTGTTACTCAAAATTATTTTGGTTTTTCTCCCTCCAATGATGATGCTCTATTTGACAGCAAATGCATATGTAATCTTTTTTCTTAGGCATCTGCTAATTCTTTGCAGGTTCAGAGCCCAAGTAGAAAAGGAAACTGAATGCTGATTTTAAAAGCTTTTATGGTAAATGTGATTATCAAAGAAAAATTGGGAGGTAGGGTAAGTATTTCCTTGGCTTGTTCAAAAACAATTTCTAAACATATTATCAGGTGTAGCTTTACCATTTTACTGCACCTTCTGCAAAGCTCCCTCATTATATCAGTGCATCAAGGCTGCACAGCTAGAGAGCTCCAGACACGACACCAAGGGCCCACAGAAAACATTTACTAGAACAAGAATTAAAAGTAATTTTGACGTTACAATTTTTTACCACTGTTAATTCGGTAGACTCGGCTATTCTGTGTCAAATATGTGTTATAAAGAAAAGTATATGGCACACAGGAAACAATTACCATTTCCATTCAAATGTTAATTATATTTACTACCAGAGTTAAGTCATGCAATGCAAATCAATTACTAAATCTGACGTTAATTCTTTAAACATGCCACATGCTACATGAGAAAAATTTTTTTAATTTTTAAAATGAAATGCACGTACCTACACTGCCCCCTTAAGGTCAGCTGGGACAAAAATATTTTCTGACAATTTATATTTAAGAAGTTTGTGGCTGTTTAAACAGTGTTTCTTGTAACTCAGAATGCATTTCATGTAAGATAACTGAGATATAAAAGTCTCCTAAATAGATTATATAACCCCCAATGTACTATTCACATAGAATAAAAATAAAACAAAAAAATAAAAATGAGTTATTACCCAACTTTATGGTTATCTTGAATATTGCTGGTAAAGGAAAAAGTTTAAACAGGGGTGGTTGTAAAAGTAGATAGGAAGATCTGTGTAAAACGAGAAGGGACATTTTTTGTTATTTGAAGATAATGTCTCTATATCTCTAAAACTTCTTGGCTTCTCTTTAAAGCCCATGGTTTGCATTTTCTTCCAAAGGCTGTCATCCATGTAATCCGTTAGCCATAATGAGGGCTATCTGGGCCAAAAATGCAACAAAATGAGAGAGAAAAAGGCAGAGAGATAAATTTTCCTAAATCATCCAGAAAGAGCTGGATGAAAAGGACACAGAATGAATTAAGGCAGGGCGGCGGGCGGTGGGCACCAGGTGAGCATGTGTAGCAAACCTGTCCCTTAATTTTATGGTACGGAAATGTCTGCAGAATTAAGAATAGTAAAAGGCAGGACAAAGGGAGTACACAGTTTATAAGGCAAAGAAAAGACAGGAGAAATGGGATCAACCAACTCCTTGCACCAGAGACTGCCATGAGCATAGGAAGCTTGGGATAAGGTCAATAGGGGGAGAGAGCCCTCGACAGGGTGAGGAATGGAGGCAGTGTGTCCTGAGCTGGTTAGGAACACTCTGTCAAGCACTGGGAATATGAGAAGGACCCAGCTACACAGTAATTGTAATGGCTAAAGTTTGAGTTTACTCCTTGAATTCCCCCTATGAAACCTTGGAAATTTATTTTTCTTTCCTATATATTTTAGGGCTCACCTCATTTGTTTACTGTCTCTCCTCACTGTGTTTTATTGTCTGATGCCTAGTTTCTGGCAAACCATTGTTTTATGTATTTTGGCTTTTTTTTTCCTTGAGTTGTTTCATGTGGGAGGCTAAATCGCATTACTGTTTCTCTATCTTGGCTGAAAGTGGAAGTTTGAGGGACTTGAATTTGAGGAGAAAGAGGATATAGAGAAGCTGAAGAGGAGGAGAGGATGAGATCTACAGCACAGATGGAGCATATAACCTTCTATAGGACAAGGAACATGAGTATATTGTGAGTATTCTTGTTATTTTATTAAGTATATAGGAGGAGCCGTGTTCCTTCCTCTGACCTAAAAGGGAAAGAATGCTGTTATGATGGTTGGCAATGCAGATACATTTGCTGCCAGGGAATAGGACATTCGGGGATTTTCTGGCTGTAAAGGAGATGGAAAGTAGAAGGAGGGTGGAGCCCAGGAGGTTTGTGTACAGGGGTTTGAAATAATGGTTTTCTAGTTGGAGTTTGAAATAATGGATTTCTAGATGGAGTAGGATGGCAGAGAGACAATAAGTTTCAAGACCTTAAGTGTGCATGGCACTCACCTGCATGGGTTTTGTGAGTGTGTATGCTCATTTTCTCATATTCAACAGACTAGATACTATAATAGAGAAAAAAAGATAGTTGTGTAGGTCTTGGGTACAGGAGGGGGAAGGTAAAGGGAGAGACAGACTTGAGCGGGTAGGCTACAGTCCTGTAACAGCAATGTTATGACAGTCAGGAAGGAATGTTAGAAAATTCCCCTTTTGTTCTACTTTAGTTCTTGGAAACTTCTGTACTTAATGCTAGTTAAAAGCTCTAATGATCTGAACAAACCAACTCTTCTCTACTGAATGGAGAAGGGAGTTATCAATATTGGATAAACAGTTCTGATACTGTTGCTGGCAGAATTCAGTTACTTGTGGTTGTAAGACTGAGTTTCCCATTTCCTTGTTGGTTATCAGCCAGGAGATGCCCTCTACCTCCTGGAAGTTGCCTATATTCCTAGCCCGGTTGCCCCCTTCATCTTTAAAATCAGCAATGAAGAATCTCTCTCACCTGGAATCCTTCTTACACTTTGAATCTCTTTCTTCAGGAAGAGCATGGCCCTGTTAAGGGCTTATCTGATATAAGGTCAGGTCTACCTAGGATAATATCAGTCTCTTAAAGTCAACTTTGAAATATAACATAATCAAATCACAGGAATGATATACCATCATATTTATATGTCCCTCCCATACTTACGGGGCAGGAGATTACGTACGAGCACAGATCACTGTTAGTCATCTTAGTATTCATCCTACCGTAGCTACAAAGATACACACAAATATAAAACTTCGTTGTTCTTATCTATACCGTTGCTATTAGATCGAGTCTTATCCCAAACTCTCAGTAAGTTCCCCCAAAAAATATAAGCTCAAGTTGTTGATGAGGTTAGAATCTGTCAGGGTCCCTGAGCCACTTAGCTGTGATAATCTGCGGACCACATTACAGGTACTAATGAAAATTCCACAGTAATTCTAGCAACGGGAAAACGTGACATAAACCAGACGCTTGCCCTTAATAAGGTAGTCAACTCGAGTTAAAAACTGTTTTTCCTTGCTTTTGCCTGGAATTATGTCCACAAGTAGCAGTAGCATTGGCAATCTCAAGCAATCTAAATATGAATCTTAACCATAATTTTACCTTGTAAGAATATTAGCTAACACATATACAATTTCATATCAGCTAATACATAAATACAATTTCATAGGGAAAAAGCTTCAAAATATAGGATTCGTAAGTGAAAAAGTAGAAATACTATAAACCCCTTCTAATGCTGAGCCAAAGAAAACACAAGACAAGCCTCCAGTATCTTGTGGAGCCAGAAAGTAAGGAAGTGCTGAAAACAAACAAACAGATGACAGCACACAGGATGACAAAGAGGCCAGACTGAAAGTGTTCCCAACTGCCAAAACGGGAATGATGTGAGAAAAAGAAAAGAATGATTGAATTGGATTATAACCCAAAGAATGAAATAATCATGAGTCTACACTGATATAAATACTTAAAGTGAAGAAGGGACAACTCTTCTTTGCAGAAGAATTCCAACTAATAAATGTTGAAAGAATGAGAGACATAAAAAGTCACCATTAGAATGCCTCAGAAATCACTGCTACAGGCAAGATCTGATGAACCTTGATGAATGCTAAAATTGGTTGGTGAAAGGTTTTTGTTTGTTTTGGTTGCTTTTTTTTTTTTTTTTTTTTTGCAGTAATTGGTAACAAGTTTGGTGAAAGTTTAAGCAGAAACAGAATGCTTGCCTAGAATGAAGCTGAAAAGGAAAGAAAAATATGAGCCCTTGATTTAGGGTCTTTGAGTGCCCCCTGCTGGTCACTAGCATGAAATTCAATGAAGCTGTGCCAAGCTGGGTTCCCTCTATATTCCATAAAGCAATTGCCCTTCTCTTTTCTTTCTAATTATACACCTGTCGCAAGATGGTTTTCCTATTCAAAACCAGGATTATCTGCCCCTACTAATTCAAAATTACTTTTTTCCTCTAAAAATATATCAAAAAGTTCAGTAATTACCAAATCTATCTTCCCTCTAAACAGAAGAGTAAATCATAAGCCCATGGCCACTTCCTGGCTGATCCTCAAGACTTGTCAGGTACAGGCAAACTTTCCAAAGTTCCTCCCACTAACCATCCCTGGTTCACCTAGGGCATCACAATAAGGGCAAGCCAGTCGAGTCTGTGAGAAAGGACGGACGGATCCAGCAGTGGGAGACAGGGCCTCCTGAGGATGTCAGACACGGAGAGTGTTTAGAGCAGACACCATGTCTACCGACACCTTGACCTCAGGGTTGAGGCCCAAACAGATAAAAGATAAATATTTCCACTATTGATGCCTCGCATATATGTCCTCTAAAATTAGTAATTCATTTGGTTCAAGTAAATCAGATACGGCTCTTCTTTAGGAAAAGACTGGGAATTCTTGTGGCATACAACACAGCAGAGACAAGAGATATAAACTGGCAGTGCCCTGGCTGCATATAGGCCAAGCAAATTTTATTTCGCCCATACGATATTTTAAAAGTCTTGAATTGGATGTTGATGTTCTAAAATCTGGAGATACCACATTTAAAAATTCGAAGTTCCAGTTTCTCTTGGAAAAAACAAATCTACGGATCTGGCCACGAGCAGTTTGTTTCTTCATGGTAACTAAAAAGAGACTGCCCCTTGAGACAGTTTTTGCTCTTCAGTTCCTTCCCCAGCACCCACACAAGGCATGTGGCTAATATCCACTCTGCTCTATCCACATGCATTAAATGTCAAGCCCCTGCAGCAAAAGGGTTTGCGACATCTGCAGAGTACAGTACTATGAGTTAACACACTTCTAAAACCTAAAAGGACCTCGCCTGCCATCTGCTTAAGCCTCACTAGTAACGTGCATTCCTTCCTTCTAAAAATCACGAGAGCTAATTATATCTATTCTGCAAAAACATAACATAAACATTTACTCCTCTGAATTTGTTCTTCTACTATAATATTGTACACCAATAAATCAGCATCACCTGAAAAGTTTGTTAAAACATAAACTGTCGGGCCCCACCTGCCAGGGTTTCTGTGTCAGTAGCCGAAATGGGAACTGAGAATTTGCATTTCTATCAGATCTCCTGGTAATGCTGATGCCACTGATCCACAGATCACACTTTGAGAACATCTGCTATTCTCCAACCCAAATTTTTTTTATTTTAAACATTTCCATGATAATTTTACCTATATTTCTCAAGTATCTCTAGAGTAGCAATATCCAATCAACTTTTTGTTGGTATAAAATGCTGTCTACCTATAGCTACTGGGCATGTGTGATTAAATAACTAGATTTTGAATTTTATTTCATCTTAATTTAAATTTGAATCACTACATGAAACTAGTTGCTATCATATTGGACAACACTGTTAAAAGGACTCTTGAAGAGCCAAACAGAAGAGTAGGTGTAGCAAGAAAAGAAAACTTTTACATGAGCATAAATAGCATAACTCAGCCGGGCACATGTCTGCTATCCCAGCACTTTGGGAGGCCAAGGTGGGAGGACTGCTTGAGCTCAGGAGTTCAACCATCCTGGGCAACATGGCAAAAATCTATCTCTGGAAAAAAAAAATACAAAAATTAGCCAGGTGTGGTGTGCGCCTATAGTCCCAGCTACTCGAGAGGCTGAGGTGGAAGGATCACTTAAGCCCAGGAGGTCAAGGCTGCAGTGAGTCAAGACTGTGCCACTACACTCCAGCCTACGTAACAGAACAAATAAAATAAAATAAAATAACAATAAATAGCAAAACTGAGAATTATGCACACAAGATTTGATTTATCAAACGGTACTTTTAATATTTTCAATTGTCCCCAGAAGTAACTATGGCATATAAGTTTTTACAACATAAATGAAACGACAGAGCCTCAACTGCTTAGTAAGAAAAACAACAAATCATCAAGCTTATTTTTTTTTTACCTTGTATTCTCCTGGGAATCACAGTTACCCAATCAGGTCCACTGGAGTTGATTGGCATTTTGATATTGACACCACTTTAAGAGGAATAAAAAAGTACAAGCTTAGGTTCTGGAATATTTATTTTCAGATATATGTCTTTATTAGCAAATGTTAAAATGACAAATTTCATGGAGCCTTATGATGATGAAACATGTTAACCAACACAAATAATAAACAAGCAGGTTATGTGTACATATAAACTGAAAAGAAATTAAATTGATTCTTAAATTTCAATGCACTCTACACTGCTAAGAGTGCAAACTCCAAAATGACCAATTCTGGTCTGAATTACATACTCCCCTTGGACTCAGAGAGTGGCTCACACTGACAAGAATGTCTATTTTGTCATTACCTAGTTTTCAGGCTGCAACTACAGGCTGCATTAAGTCATGAGTCAGAGTCCTTAGGCCTTTTCCAGATCTGAGAGAAGCCCTGCTGGGGACACTTGCCCCCCAAGATATGTACTCATGAAGTACTCTGTTTATCATTACAGGACTCTTCAGTGTTTGTTCTCCTTACTAAAACATACACTACTCGAGGGAGGCAGCGGGGAAAAATAAAATAAAACAAAACACACACTAACCAAAGACAAGGATGGTGCCCCATTCACCTTTGTATCCTAGCACAGGCCCTGGTCTAGAGTCCATACTCAGTCAATATTTTTGGAGGACTGCATTAAAACGTGGGGGAGGCTGAAGGAAAGGATAAAAGCACTGAAAATCCAAGGTAACTATTCCAGAAACTGAGTCACAGTAAAACTAGGCCTCTTGTACTTAGACCAAAAACAAAAAAAACAAAAAATAAAATGTCAACTTTCCAAACTCTTGATATGGGAATGTGAAGCCATTTTTTATTATTTCATCAATTTCAGAAAAAAACTGTTTATTCAATAAATACACAAAATAGTTCTTAAGCTTCTTAAGCCAGGTACTGTCCTAGACTCCTGGGCTATTACAGTAAGAAAAATACACAGCCTTTCCTTCTTCATGGAGCTTACATAGAGGAGGCAGACAAAAACAAGGAATGAAGGAAATACACAGGCCTGGCTACATTAGAGAATAATCGAATTTCATAGATTAAATAAAGTGATTTTTTAAGAGAGCACATATAAACTACTTTCATGAGCTTAGAGCTTTATGGTAAAGAAAAAAGAAATATAATTTACTTCTCTATGTTATAATCATTATTTCATTATTATATAATAATCATCTTGCAAAAACATAATTTCCATTTTTGCAAGAAAATTTCTTCTATAATTTTCCTGCAAAAATATTTAGCCTCAATCTAATCACATGGAAAGTAGAAACAATAAAGCAAATCCAAAGTAGACTGAGCATGGTGGCTCACATCTGTAATCCCAACACTTTGAAAGGCCGAGGTGGGCGGATCTCCTTGAGGCCAGGAGTTTGAGACCAGTCTGACCAACACGGCAAAGCCCCACCTCTACTAAAAGTACGAAAATTAGTCAGGTATGGTGGTGCACGCCTAGTAGTCCCAGCTACTCGGAAGGGTGAGACACAAGAATCACTTGAGCCCAGGAGGGAAGGTTACAGTGAGCCAGGATCATTGTATTGCACTCCGGCCTGGGTGACAGAGCAACACTCTGTCTCAAAAAAAAAAAAAAGAAAAAAAAAAAAAAAAAAAAAAAAAAAAAAAGTAAAGGACATTTATAAAACAGCAACATCAAAATTGCCAATGCCATACAAAACAAATAAGCTAAAGAGAAAGAACTCTTTGGGATTAAAGAGATAACCAAACACACTGTGTAATCATAGATTAGATTAGTTAAAATTAAAAAGATAGCTATAAAAGTCATTATTGGGACAACTGAGGAAACGTGAATATCTAATATGAACTGCATATTAGATAACAGTACTGTAATGATGATAAATGTCCCAAATGTGATTATTATGGTTATATGTTAGAGAAAGTCCATTTTCTTAGGAGAGGCATATTTATGGAGTGCAGTGACATGATATCTACAACATACTCTCACATGGTTCGGAGGAAAAAATTATACACAGATACATATAAACACAGAGAGACATAGAACAAAATGTGGCAAAACATTAATAATAGTGAATCTAAGAGTTCACTATTATTCCTGCAATGTTTCTAAAGATTCCATTTTTTTAATACAAAGTTAAAAAGAAAAAAGTAGCAATCATGCTAAAATAAAGGGAAATGTTTTAGGTGATAAGCCCATTCTTTTAAAAGGCCTTCCCTTATATTAATTGGGTCTTTAAGGAAAGACCTGTTGTTCTTTCCAAGAGTCACATTTTTATTCCCTTATAAGAACAAAAATGACATCCTTTAATTGTTCAACTGTCATTTACAGAACCAAATACCAAGGCTAAGCTTCTTAATACTTTCTGATTTAAGTAAGGTTATGAGTCCCCAAGGAAGAGAAGTAAAAAGGTTATCAGTTCAACATATTTGGGCCATAAGTTCACAACAATAAACCCAAAAATCACCAAAAAAAATCAATATCAGTATTTTTCTTTTCAGATAGCCTTATGTAATATTTCAGAGCTTTAATAGAACAAAGGACAAAAAAATGAAAATCAATTATCAGGACTCTGTCAAACGTTTGCTTTCCAAAAACTTATGCCACCTCAAACACTGTTTTCTCAGCAAACTTTCAGGTAAGTAGAATTCTGCAATTATTCTACAACAATGTACCATCAGCCAGCCTCATCCAGGACATGCAAGAAAGGGCAGTGACAAACATTATTTTATCCTTGTTGGTTCATGGGTGTTTTTTGTTTTGAATAGTAGAATTTACAGTCAGAAATACTTTTAGGTTTCACGCTAATTTAGTTCTCTAACCTTTCTCTATTTTCCACATGGAATTTGAGTAAATTACTGTGCTTCTCCCTCTTTGCTAGGCCACTATGTAGACTGACAACAAACTCTATAGGACAATTATAGCTAACAATCATTTACGATATATTTCAAAACAATTATGACAGTGGAACTGGAATGTTCCTAACACAAAGAAATGGTAAATTCTTGAGGTAATGGATACTCCAATTACCTTGATTTGATCATTATATATTATATGCTTGTATCAAAATATCACATCTACCTCAAAAATATATGCAAGTATTATACTTTAGGTTCTGGGGAAAAAATGAAAAAGAAAAAATATATATATGCAAGTAGTATGTATCCATAATTTAAAAATCTAAAAACACAACTCTAACGGGGCATGGTGGCTCCCATCTGTAATCCCAGCCCTTTGGGAGGCCAAGGCAGGGGGACTACTTGAGCCCAGGAGTTTAGGCCATTCCGGAAAACATAATGGGCCAGGCACGGTGGCTCATGCCTGTAATCCCAGCACTCTGGGAGGCTGAGGTGGGTGAATCACCTGAGGTCAGGAGTTCAAGACCAGCCTGGCCATCACGGTGAAACCCCATCTTTAAAAAAAAAAAAAATAGAAAGAAAAAGAAAAAGAAAACATAATGAAACCACATTTCTACAAAACATACAAAAATTAGCTGGTTGTGGTGGTGCAAACCTGTAGTCCAAGCTATTCGGAAGGCTGAGGTGGGAGAATCGCTTGAACCCAGGATGTCAAGGCTGCACTGAGCCATAATCATGCTACTGCACTCCAGCCTGGATGACAAAGCAAGACCCTGTTGCAAAACGAACAAACAAATCCTCTACAATAGGGTAAATGAGTAGTCTTCATACATAGGCAAAAAAGTACACAGAAATAAAATAATCAGCTTAGTCACTGATAAACGGCATGTCTGAAACCTGAATCCAGGAATAAAATGAAAAATTCTGTTTTGGTTTTGAAATTTAATTTTGTTTTCATTTTGTACTGAGCCATAGAAAATACTAGTCTTCTCAGCAGTAAACACCGTACATTGAGTAGTGCTCCCTCTACTGGCCTTCTATAAGTATGGCATGAATCTACTACAGTATACATACATGTAACCTGGTATGACCGAAAGCTGACTACAGGGTGGAAAACTGAAGCGTTTTATTTTAGGAGCGCCTACAAACCACATACTTTATGATAGCAACTATTCTCCCATCCAGTAATGAGTGGACATAAACTATGAAAATTTTTAGATTGCCCAGATGTACTTAACAAAAATACCTCCCTTTTATGCAATAAAAAAATCCTCTCTACCAAGGAATGTTTAAAAACAATATATTTCATTAAAAAGTAAAAAACATGTATACATTATTTCAAACAATGGTACTTTTTTGGTTGAGACAGGGTCTCACTCTGTTGCCCAGGCTGTAGTGCAACTGTGATCATATTCGCTGCAACCTCAAATTCCTGGGCTCCAGCCTTCCTCCCACCTCAGCCTCCCAAAGTGCTGAGTCATGAGCCACCACACCTGGCCAAAATGGTACTTTGTAACCAAGTAGCTTTCACAATTTTTTATTTCTTAGTGATGCTATGGAATATTGAAGAAAACACAAATTTTAATTCATACTGGTTTCATATTCCTTTCTGAACATTATTCCATATATTTATCATCATGCTCAAAATATGCTCATATTTGAAACAGATATTTGAACACATTACTGCAATAATTTTAACAACTATTTAGCTTAAAAAATATAATTTTCTGTGGCATTCCTAGCTTCCTATGCTTATTATTAAGTCCACCCAGGAATGTTGCCATATTCATAGTTTTTTAATCAATATGTTCAAATGATTTTAAACACTGATATTATATCACTTTTAAAAGTTTCAGTTCATTAGATACAAATATAAAATACCAGCCTGACTACTAGCCCTACCAGCCCTGTTCTTGGATTATTTTTTTCTTTGCATAAAATAGATGGGGCCTTGCTATGTTGCCCAGGCTGGTCTCAAACTCCTGGGCTCAAGTGATCCTTCCATCTCAGCCTCCTAAAGTGCTGGGATTATAAGCATGAGTCACCACACCTGGCCCTTGGATCATTTTTTATCTGTTCTGTGAATAAGGGATTTTGCTTACACAGCTACTATGTAAACATGCTATGTAGTTTGAAAGTAAAACACAGACATGAGGGTAAAGAACAAAAATTCAAGGGTAAAAGGTCTTTAATTTGGACTTGGATAAGCACTAAGCTTCACTTTTAAAACACTAAAGAAAAATACAAATATATGGGTTTTTTTTAAATTCAATATCTCTTCTGAATTGGGTCAAGTTGAAAGAGAAATGAGAAACACATACCCAATACCACAAAGTCTCCTAAATGGGACAAGGACAGTGGAAAATAACTCTTCAAACTATCCCCCCAAAAAAGCAGCACATACCTCTGGAAGAATGCACTCTCTGCAGCAGTTAGGAGACCCTTCAGGTATCCACCTTTGAAATGAGTAATTCTGCTACTGCAAGGGAGCTTCTTTGGTTTGAAGCAGAACCAGGGTTCCCCAGTGTAGAGGTCTGTAAAGTTACACAGGGGCAGATTCCCAGGAAGACACACGTTGCACTCAGTAGTTTCAGAAATTCTTCCTGAACGGAAGAGACTCTTGAAATAGACCCTGTCTGGTTTATCTTCCTGTAAGTGCTGAAGAACTCTGATCCCTTCACTGGGGTGGACCAAAGATATGGACACTTTAACTTTGCCTGGCCATAGCAAAGTAAAGAAAACTTTGTAAAACCCATTCTGGTAGTCCACCACCCTGCCCACAGCCCCGGCCTGCAGCTTGGGGGAGTGAATTCTGGCCTGCAGATAGTCTCCACCATACTTCTTGGGCTTTCTTTGAAAATCCTGTACATGAACCAGTACCTCCAGCTGGCTTCCCACCTTAAAGAAGGCAGCAGAGTTCAAGATAACAAAGTAGCTGGAAGAAGGGTCAGTGCTCTTCACAAAGGGGACTGGGCCCATATCTGGAACCTGCCCGTGCAAGGCGGCCAGCAAGGAGTCCTCCTCCATGCGCTCCTGGCTGGACAGGGTCTGCTGATCATAGCCACAGTAGGGATTCCGGCTAATTCTTGTCACCTGGGGGGAAACAAACTGCCCACTGCTGTCGATGAATGTGGCTGAAACAGTCTCATGGTCCAAGTACTGAAGAAGAAGACACAAACAACAGAAATTACCACTATATAAGTCTCTGTATTTTCGGCATAAATTCACAGAGGGCTCCCCATATTTCTGTGAGTTTTAGCTCCAGGAGCTCAATCAGATTCTCACAGTAAATATCAAAGAAAAATCCCCTTGGGCTTCTGGCAAGGGAAAGGAAATAGGACCCATTTTGAAGTATGCAGAACACTGTGTTGTTCTTAACAAAGCAGCTGCTGAAGAGAAAGTCCTTTATCAGAACCTAGCATACTGGAGCTTTATCAGAGCCTAACCAAACTGAGAGAAGGGAAGTACCTAACTCCAGCCCTTTCTAGCCACCCAGTCCAACCTAAGAGGGGGAAACACCCAGAAAAAAGTAAAGTAAAGGGCTGGACAAAGATATACCATGCTAACACTAATCCAAAGAAAGCAGCAGTAGCTATATTAATTTCAGACAGAGCAGATTTCAAAGCAAGGAAAGTTATCAAAGATAAAGAGGGTTATCACATAATAATAAAGGAGTCAATTCTCCAAATAACCCTTAACATGTATGTAACCAACCAATGAGCATCAAAATATGTGAGGCACAAACTAACAGAGAAATAGATGAATCTACATTATAGTCTGAGACTTCAACACTCCTCTACCAGAAATAGATCCAGTAGGCTGAAAATTGGTAAGGACATGGTTGAATTCAACAGCACCATCAATAAACTGGATATAGCTGACATCTGTAAACTACTTCTTATCAAGTTTGCGTGGAACATTAACCAAAACAGTCCACATTCTGGACCATAAAATGCACCTTAACAAATTTTTAATAATAAAAATCATACGGTATCTTCTCTTAAGCCATAATGAAATTAAACTAGAAATCAATAATAGAAAGATAGCTGGAAAATCCCAAAATAGTATACAAATGGACAACATACAAAATCTCATGAGAAACTTAAAAATATTTTTAATTAGGTGAAGGTAAAAATATAATTTATTAAACATTATAGGATAAAGCAAGAGAAATGTTTAGAGGGAAATACATAGTTCTACACATATTTTAGGAAAGAAAAATGACCTAAAATCAATAATTTAAGCTTACATCTTAGGAAATTAGAAAAAGAAGAGCAAACAATATCCAAAAATAAGCAGAAGAAAAATTAAAAATATGATAGCAGAAATCAATACAGTTGAAAACAGGAAATCAATAAAGAAAAATCAATCCCAAAGCTGTTTTTTTAAAAGATCAATAAAATTGATAAGCCTCTACCAGGCTTAAAAAAACAGAGAGAAAGGATACAAATTACTAATATCAGAAATGAAAGAGAGGCCATCACTACAGATCCCATGGACATTAAAGGGATAAAGGAATATTATGAACAACTCTATGTCCACAAATTTGATAATCCAGATGAAATGGACCAATTCCTTGAAGGGCACAATCCATAAAGAATGCACCTAATGATGCAAAAGTAATATTATAACTAGTGGAAAACAAATATAAAAGAACGAAGTCGTGCTTTCTTCATCACTTAGAGTAGGAAGTTAAGATATGTTATCTCCTGCTGTTGGGGAAATAAAAGGTCTAAATACATTATTTTATATATAGAAATAAAATTAATTTTGCAAATTGTGGAAAAAGAATGAAGTAAGCAGAGACCTTATCTTTCATTATGTTAACAGTAGTAGGTCAGGTGTAGTGGCTCATGCTTGTAATTCTAACACTTTGGATGGCTGAGGCAGAAGGACTGCTTGAGGCCAGAAGTTCAAGACCAGCCTGGGCAATATAGCAAGAACTCATCTCTACAACAAATTTTTAAAAAGTTAGCCAAGCATGGTGGCACATGCTTGTAGTCCCAGCTACATCAAAGGCTTAGCTGGGAGTACCACTGAACCCAGGAACTCCAGATTATAGTGAGCTATGATCCCACCACTGAACTCCAGCCTGGGCAACAGGGCAAGACCTTGTCTCTAACAAATAAATAAATAAATAAATATAAATTAAAACTAGGCTAGGTACCGTGGTTCATGCTAGTGCTTCGGGAGGCAGAAGTGGGCGGATCAGGATTGTTTGAGCTCAAGAGTTTGAAACCAGCCTGGGCAACATGGTGAAACCCCATCTCTATTAAAAGTACAAAAAATTAGCTGGGCGTGGTGGTGCATGCCTGTAATCTCAGCTACTCAGGAGACTGAGGCACAAGAATTGCTTCAACCCAGGAGGCAGAGGTTGCAGTGCACTGAGATCATGCCACTAAACTCCAGCCTGGGCAACAGAATAAGACTCTGTCTCAAAAACTTTAAAACAGGAAAATAATTATTATTATTTTATATATATATATATTTCTTTTAATATATATATATGAGGACTGCTTGAACCCAAGAGTTCAAGGTTACAGTGAGCAATGACAACAGCCTAGGCAACAGAGTAAGACCCTGTGCCTAAAAAAAAGGAAAAGAAAAATTCAGTAGTAGCAGAAACAGCCAATATTTACTGTGAGCCTTTACGTTATGGATACTTTTGGAAAGAGTATCCATGAATCTTTAAATTCAATGTTCAAATTATCACAGGTGATAAGTCCTGTTATTATGTCCACTTTATAGACAAGGAAACTGAGACAACAAACAGCTTAACAATTTGCTCAAGGCCATGTAGGTTAGAAGCAGCAAAGGATTAGAAGCCAAGCTGTCTGAAGTGAGGCCTGTTTTCTTAACCACCCATGCTACACTACCTCATATGAACAAGTTAGGAGATACCTTGTAAAGTTTACAAATCAAGATACAAGTACGTAATGTATAACTAGTGCTACCTACCCAAATAATTAAAAATGAGCATTACATTCACTCAGGGTAAAGAATAGGGAGGGGATCCAATTGGTGCTTAATACCATTCTCTATTCTTTGAAATGTCTATACATTCCATGAGTTATTTTATTAGTAAACAGGATAGAGGAACAAATGAGCAGGAAAAAAGTTATAGACCTCACCTGAGGCATATAACTAATCTACCTAAAATGTAGTAAACTATATCTTACATTATGCAATTAAACTGCAGGGAACAACAACAGCAAAGCAAAACCAAATATCTCTCTCAATAGCTATAACATTTCCTTGTTTCTAGCAAAACATTTAACAAGTCCTCAGGCTCCCCACCTATGACAAACCACTTCAAAATCCTACATAAGGTAAAAATAATCTCAAAATACAATAATGTTTAATGCTCTTCTTAGATTCTGTATTTTTCCCCTCTCATTTTATACTAACATATACACATTTTCATTTTAAAGGGTCTCATTTAGGAGCCTTCATTTTAAAGGGGTACATGGTAGTATTTGTTCATTTAAAAAGTGGCACGGGGAAAACAAAACTGACTGAAAAATTCTCTTTATTACCTTACTGATTACCTTTCAGGAAATGCTCCAGCCACCCTCTTCTGTTTAGTTGTTGTAAGTCTGTGACACACCGTTAAGGACCAAATCATGCACCATGTGCTCACAGCATACCTCCTCTTCCTAATTCCTTGCTCACTCTCACTCTTGTTCCCTGGGTAGCCACACCAATTCTCCAAGGCCAACTGACTGACACATTCAACCCAATCCAGAAATCACCAAACATTGGGTGGTAATTCCCCTGCATTTTACTTGCAAATGAAAAACATGTGAAAATGTCAACTTGCTTAATTTTCCTAAAGATAGGGGCAACTTCACGCCTGCCATCTTTTTAGGTTTAGGGCAAAGAGGAAACAGCAAACAGATGGCTCACTCCTCAAGCCGACATAACCGATGGGCTGGAGTGAACATGGTGACTGCCTGTCCCACATCCATTTCACTCCTGGCCTACTGAACCACAGCAATGCTGTTTGCTGACCTGTCAGCTCAAGGGTGGGCCTCCAAGTAAATGGCTGGTTCAGAATGGGCATGTGACCCAATTCTGGACTATGAGAATCAGAAGAGGTTGCTGGAGGCTTATGCTTGCATGCAGCCAAATCCAGGGACGACTAATCCCCCTGGTAACAGCTATTTGAATTTCACTTGCAAATGAAAAAACACAATTAATATCTTTTTTTTTTTTTTTTTTTGAGATGGAGTCTTGCCCTGTCACCCAGGCTGGAGTGCAGTGACACAATCTCGGCTCACTGCAACCTTCTCCTCTCAGGTTTAAGCAATTCTCCTGCCTCAGGCTCCCGAGTAGCTGGAATTACAAGTGTGTGTCACCACATCCAGCTAATTTTTTGCATTTTTAGTAGATGGGGTTTCGCCACATTGGCCAGGCTGGTCTCAAACTCCTGACCTCAGGTGATCTGCCCGCCTTGGCCTTTCAAAGTGCTGGGATTACAGGCATGAGCCACGGCCCCTGGCCTGACACAAGTAGTATCTTGAGCTGGTTTGAAGAGAACAACTGTTCCTTCAGGTGGACATTACAAGAAGACAACCACCGGCCGGGCGCGGTGGCTCAAGCCTGTAATCCCAGCACTTTGGGAGGCCGAGGCGGGTGGATCATGAGGTCAAGAGATCGAGACCATCCTTGTCAACATGGTGAAACCCCGTCTCTACTAAAAATACAAAAAATTAGCTGGGCACGGTGGCGCGTGCCTGTAATCCCAGCTACTCAGGAGGCTGAGGCAGGAGAATTGCCTGAACCCAGGAGGCGGAGGTTGCGGTGAGCAGAGATCGCGCCATTGCACTCCAGCCTGGGTAACAAGAGTGAAACTCCGTCTCAAAAAAAAAAAGAAAGAAAAGAAAACCACCACCCTATTGCTCTGGCAGCCATCCTACAATCAACCATGAAGGAGGATGCCATAGATAAAAGGTAACACAAAAGAAGGCACAGTTAAGAGGCTTACAGACAAACAAAGGCTGGTTCCCAAAAGAATTATGCCCAACCTATCTACTGACTTCTATTCAAATGAATAATATATACTATCATTAGCTTGAATCAGGTGTCTTTTACTTGAAGCCCAAAGCCCTAATACACAGGTGTTATAATACACATTTAAAATATCAATGAATAAGGCA